GGGGCCCTTTTTCTGCTCCCTGACCCATGTACCAGCCCCTAAAAAAAACGTTTTTATTGATTTCAGAGAGAAGAAGGGAGGAGAGAGAGGTAAAAACATCGATGAGAGAAAATCATTGATCAATTGATCGGCTGCCTCCTGCACACCCCCTCCTCCTCCTCTCCACTCTCTACAAAAATCAATGGAAAAAATATCCTTGGGTGAGGATTAAAAAAAAAAGGCAAATTTTATGTTATGTATATTTTACTAGAATTTAAAAAATATCTATTACTCTATCTTTTACTTTGAATGGATCTTTTATCCATGCATGATTTTATGACATCACACATTGGTTATTGGAAAATATTGGTTCATTGATACCGGTTATACAGATCTTCCAAATATTGGTACACTCACTTCCTTATATAATATCAGAAAACCAGATTTGTTAATATTACCATAGATCTTAGCAGGAAAGTCTTTTTTTTTTTTTTTAAGTATGCTTTATTGATTTTTTTACAGAGAGGAAGGGAGAGGGATAGAGTTAGAAACATCGGTGAGAGAGAAGCATTGATCAGCTGCCTCCTGCACACCCCCTACTGGGAATGTGCCTGCAACCAAGGTACATGCCCCTGACTGGAATCGAACCTGGGAACCCTCAGTCCGCAGGCCGATGCTCTATCCACTGAGCCAAACCGGTTAGGGCAGCAGGAAGGTCTTTAAGTACTGGGAAGCTGTCAAGCTCAAGGTAGAAAATAGAACTTTTCTAAAATCCTAACTTTCACCTGATCACTTAAATTTTATCACTGGCAACAAATATTGTGAAATGTTTTCCTTGAAGTGACAAGGCTCACTTGGTTCATTTTTCTGAAAATGTCTTCTAAATACCCTCAATCTTTAAAGTAATAGTTTATGTTTCAGTTTTTCTTTCAAATAAAAATGGTGTCCTGTGAAAAAAGTAGCTAGTTCAGCTTACAACTCACCTAATGGCACAAGTGTTTTTTGTTTTGGAATGCGGTAGAAGTGCTTTATGTGGACTTCCCATTTCATCACAGAATATTTTAAAATGTACTCAAGCCCTGTGTTTCAGTGGTTAGAGCACCGGCCCACACACCGAAAGGTCACGGGTTCAATTCCCAGTCAAGGGCACGTACCTAGATTGCAGGTTGGATCTCCAGCTCCAGTTGGAGTGTGTGCAGGAGGCAACTAATCGATGTGTCTCTCTCACATTGTTGTTTTTTTTCTTTCTTTCTCTCTGTCCTCCGTCCCCGTCCCCCGTCCCCCCCCCCCGCCCCCCCCCGCCATTCCACTCTCTAAAAATCAATGGGAAAATATTCTCAAGGAGTATTAACAAAACAAAAAAAGTGTACTCACGGGCTGAGATTCAAAAGAATTAATAATTTTTACTGTTTTGTCAAGGATGTTAAGTGAAATTGATTTTTTTTACTATGAGAGTATTAAAGTAAAAACAAAATGACTATCAGTACAATTTAGTGCCAGTATTTTGATTTGTGCTTAGACACCATGAGCAGTTCTACTCACCAGTGCTTTTGCACCTTCATTGCAAATGAAGTAAAAAATGGCAAATAACATTATGAAAATAATTTTGACCAGAAAGAGCCCTTGCAAAAGCACTGTCCCCATGATACTGAGTTTTCTGTTATTAATATGAATCACATGTCAAGAAATGTGTTTCAACAAATTAAACTGGATATTAACTCTCCAGTATAATTTCATTTTCTTTTAACATTATATTATGGAAAACTTCAAACTAAATTATAGAGAATAGACTACCATGTATCTATTACCCAGCTTCAACTACCATCAATATCTGTTACTCTTTTTTAAAAAAAATATATTTCTTTATTGATTTCAGAGAGAAAGGAAGAAGGAGGGAGAGAGAGAAACATCAATGATGAGAGAGAATCATTGATCGGCTGCCTCCTGCACACACCCCACTGGGGATTGAGCCCACAACCCAGGCATGTGCCCTTGGCCGGAATCGAACCTGGGACCCTTCTGTCCGCAGACCAATGCTCTATCCACTGAACCAAGCTGGCTAGGGCAACATCTGTTATTCTTTTTATTTTTTTATTTTTTAATATATTTTATTGATTTTCCACAGAGAGGAAGGGAGAGAGATAGAGTTAGAAACATCGATGAGAGAGAAACATCGATCAGCTGCCTCCTGCACATTGCCCATTGGGGACGTGCCCGCAACCCAGGCACATGCCCCTGACCGGAATCGAACCCGGGACCTTTCAGTCCGCAGGCTGACGCTCTATCCACTGAGCCAAACCGGTTTCGGCTGTTATTCTTATTTCACCTAAGCCCCAACCCTTTTTCCCCCTCTGGGATATTTTAAAGTAAATCCCCTGACATCAATCTTATCATTTCACCCACAAATATTTCAGTATGATTCTCTAACACATAAAGAATAAAAAAAACTGCCCTGGCCAGTGTGGCTCAGTTAGGTGAGCAGTGTCCCTTGCACCAAAAGGTCACTCACTGGTTGATTCTCGGTTAGGCCTGGGTTTCTGGCTGGATACCCAACCGAGGGCATGCAGGAGGCAGACGATTAATGTTTCTTTCTCTCTCTCCCTCTCCTTTCCTCTGTCTAAAAAAATCAATTTAAAAAAAATCCCAAACATTACAATACCTTCAATACATCCAAAATATCTAACACCAACCCTTTAATATTATCTTAATGCCCAATCCCTGTTTAATTTTCCCCGACTGCCTCAGTATCTTTTTATGGTTGGCTTGTTTGAATCAGATTTTAAATGAAATCTATGCATTGTATTTGGTTGAAATGGCTCATGTCTATTTAATCTACAACAGTTTCCTTTTTTAAAAAAAATACATTTTTATTGATTTTGAGAGAGAGAGGAAGGGAAAGGGATAGAGAGATAGAAACATCGATGACAAAAAAGCATCATCAATCCTACTGGGGACTGAGTAGCAACTCGGGCATGTTTCCTGACCGGGAATTGAACCAGCAACCTCTTGGCTCCTGGGCCCACACCCAGCCGCTGGGCCACACCAGCTGGGCGCCTTCCCTTTTGAAAAATATGTCATTTATTTTCGAGGAAACTGAGTCCTTTCGTCCTAAGGAACTGATCACATTCTAGATTTAGTTACCAATATACTCAATGTGTCATTTAACATATTTGACCATCCCCCATATTTCCTGTAAATGGGTAGTTAGGTCTGAAGACCTGATTAGATTCAGGTTCAATTTTTCTTGGCAAGAAAACTTCATAGGTGGTGCTGTGCACTTCATATTGCATCACATAAGGAAGATGTCTCACTGTCCTACTTTTAGTGACGTTAGGATTAATCACTGCGTTTAAGTGAGGCCAGTTTGATCTTTCATAAATTCCCCATTTATCTTTTCACCTAAGAGTTTGAATGACTATTGATGACCGCTGCCTTGAGATTTTACACTGTCTCCTTAACCTTTGAAATGAGGAATAGCTCAATGAATTTAGGAATGCAAAGAATTAACCTTAAAAGGGGACACCTCAACATAAGGAAGACAGATCATCTCCCCTCTCCTTTGGAGTTCAATTTCACATACATTCATTGAAGACCTATTTAGTTCCACGTGACCTTGTCTTAGCCTCTCATTGTAGATAAACTATGTGAATAACTAAAAGTCAGCAATAAATGCAACAACAGAGATAAATGTAAAGTGCAAAGGAACCCAGATGAAGGGGTAAATAGTTCTCTTTATAGAAGTTTCAGAAAGTGGCATCTGCACTGGAATCCTGGAAGCTGAGCTAGGAACCTCCAACCTCATCTGACTCTCTTCTAGTTTGGGTCTAGTCATACAGGTCTCTTCCAGTCTTGGAAACTACCACGGTTCCTTCTTGCTTCAGGGTTTCCATACGCTCCCTGGGCCTATTTTCCTCATACTCTTCCCCTGGGTATCTCCCACTCATCTGTTAGGTCAGTTAGGATATCACTTCAGTGACGCTTTCTCAGTCTCCCCAGTTCTCCCATATTTTTCTTAGAGCATCCTTATTATTTATGTCGTTTATCACAATGTGTAATGACATTTCCATGTGTGGGATTATCTGCACTAACTCTGTTGCCTTCACTAGAATGTAAGCTCCATAAGGGCAAGCTATATTGTTCACCCATTGGTTTGTACAGCGCTTGGCACGTAGTTAACACTCAAGTATTTACTGAATGAAAGAAGGGGTAGCAGTAACAGACAGACTCCCCTTAGCTCCTGGCTGGCTTAGTTTCTGGCATCACTTTGCCATCCCAGGATGACTCAGGTAGAGTCCAATCCAGCCTGGCACCGGCATTTCAGGTAATTCTCAGTAACCTGGTTCAGGGAATCGGGCATATACGTCCTTGTGAGTGTAATTAGAGACCCTCTCATAGGCTCCCTAAAGGAATGACACTTACCTTGGGGGTTTTGAGCACAAACTTGTGTTTCCCTTCATCAGGGCCCAGCTGTGCCTTCAGTTTCAGTAGTTTTGCCACTTCCTCCTCGATCTGTGGAGAAAAAGTAGGCGCTGGCTGTCACAGCCGCAGCTCACCTCCCCCTCAACCATTCATTCAATACCCCTCCATCAGGATCTGGAACAGATCTCTACCCCCGGCCTAGCTTTGCTTCTCTCGAGTCCTGCCCGGCTACCTCACCACCTAGTTCGTCCTCCTCCCTACCAGCTGGAACCCTTCTCCCTCACACCCCAGTCCTCTACCGACCACCCGGCTCTACCTCCTCCCCGGCCTTGCTTTGGCCCCTCCCCTGCCGCCCGGGTCGCACCTGCTCAGCGCTGGCCTTCTGCTGTTTCAGTTCCCGCACATGCTCTCCCTGAAGTCGCACTAGTTCCTCCAGCGCCGCACGTTCGGCCATCCTGGCTGCAAGCTGGAGAGAACTGATGTCTAGGCGGGGTGGCAGCGGGCTCCGCTTCAGCTCGGAGGACTTCCGGCTATCGAGTCGCTGGCCCCCAAGCCTAGAGAGCCTCCGCCGAGCGCAACACCACTTCCGACTCCTACCGGAAATGCCGAGGCTGAGAGGGAACCCGAGAGGACGGGATCCGGGTTGCGGGATTTGGCGTCGCTCACCTCCTTCCTTGGAGCTCGGGCATTGCCTCTGCAACGCTGTGCACGCTTCTTGGGGTCCGACCGGCTTCGTTCTCAGGTCTTTTGCCCGCTGTCCCGGCCTCCCGCCGCGCGATGCCCCAGCTCGGGCTCCTGCCCGGGAGGGCTTGGGCTGCGCTGCTCGGCCAGCTCCTGCGGCCTCCCCGGGTTGTGTGCCTCGGGGCGGCCCATTCTCATAGCCAGGTGAGCCAGTCTGAGTAGCCCCGTCTGTCGGGATAGGCTCTGCGGGTCTGAAAGCTTGAGCTCGCGGCCGGTGCTCCAGTAGTCATACCATTGGTTTGTTACCGCGTGCCCACCGTGTACTGAGCTCAGTGTTGTAGATGCTTTGTCATTTAATTCCATAGCCATCCTGAGAGGTTGGGGTTATTATTTCCATTTACAGTTGCGGAATCAGAGACTGCACGGTCAGATGGTTTATCCGTGCATATAGTAAGGGAGCGTTTTCATTTAGGTTCACTATCCCTTGTTTGAGCCTATTGGAGTCAAACACATTAAAATTCCTAAAGCAAAATATATGATTATTTCCACTGAGGTAATTAATGACCATAAGTAGACAGTTCACATTAGAATTTACCTCAAGTCTACGGCCATACCACCCTGAACGCGCCCGATCTCGTCTGATCTCGGAAGCTAAGCAGGGTCGGGCCTGGTTAGTACTTGGATGGGAGAATTTACCTCAAAATGAGTCACAAACAACCTACATAATTTTAGGTTTTCAGACATTTTTGGATTTGGGGATTGCAGAGAAGGGGTTGTGGACTTGAACTGCCTACCCTTGGAGGAGAGAGCCACCAAAGTATAGAGCAGTGATGGCGAACCTATGACAACTCATTTTTTGGGTTGATTTTTCTTTGTTAAATGGCATTTAAATATATAAAATAAATATCAAAAATATAAGTCTTTGTTTTACTATGGTTGCAATTATCAAAAATTTCTATATGTGACACGGCACCGGAGTTAAGTTCGGGTTTTTCAAATGCTGACACGCCGAGCTCAGAAGGTTCGCCATCACTGGTATAGAACTACCACACCCGCTATATTTCTGAAGGGCATACAGCCTGCTGGTAATAAACAAAGTCACTGATTCCGTTTTACGTTAGGAAAGACTCTGTTGTCTTTATAGCAGATGCTTTGTGCTGTCATGAACAGGGCTTAGATCTTTTGTTACTAATTTTCAGTCATAGCATCGTACCAGTCTGGTTTTTTAGTTCAATTAGGAAATCCATTCCTGTTCGTTCTAAGACATGCTCTGTGTCCTTGGACTGGCTCTCTTCTGTCTTCAAGTTTTTCCCTGTCTCCAAGCCTAATGACCATCGCTACCTTATTTTTTAAAAAAATATATTTTTATTGATTTCAGAGAGGAAGGGATAGAGAGATAGAAACATGAATGATGAGAGAGAATCATTGATTGGCTGCCTCTTGCATGCCCCACACTGGGGATCAAGCCTGCAACCCAGGCATATCCCCGACTAGGAATTGAACTGTGACCTCCTGGTTCATAGATCTACGCTCAACCACTGAACCATGCTGGCAGGGCACCATTGCTACATTATTAAAAATTCTTGCCAAAACGGTTTGGCTCAGTGGATAGAGCGTCGGCCTGCGGACTGAAAGGTCCCAGGTTCGATTCTGGTCAAGGGCATGTATCTTGGTTGCAGGCATATCCCCAGTAGGAGATGTGCAGGAGGCAGCTGATCGATGTTTCTCTCTCATCGATGTTTCTAACTCTCTATCTCTCTCCCGTCCTCTCTGTAAAAAATCAATAAAATATATATTTTTAAAAATATTCTTATTTTCACTCTTTGAATGGGAACTGAGACCTGGAAAAAATATACTAATCCCTACCCCTGGATGGTTGTGGTGGGTTGTTCTTTACCTTCATTGTTCTTGGGTACTTACTTACACTATTTTCAGACAGTTTGTATGGTAAAGACCCGACCTCATGTGTATTGCATATATATTGCAGACACAACATGGGGTTTTGGAGGGGGGACTGGGATTGGAGTAGATAAAATAGTGTTCGGGCTTCTTGTTACGCAGGACCAAAGCTCTTTGCAGGTTGGTGGTCCACGGGGCCAGCAATGTCACTGGGCTGGCCAGTCTTGAGAGGTGCCGTGTCTCACATTCCTTCTTCTGCCAGGTTGCAGAGGCAGTGCTAGCATCCCAACTGAAACCACGTCAAGAGAAGTCAAATTTTATTCTCAAGACCCCAAAGGTAACTCGCTTTGCCCCACTTTGTCCCATTAAAGAGCCTTGGAGGACTGCCCTCTGTTCTGCTCGTCTTTTCCTGACGCCTTTAAAAATCCTTTTAAGACTAATTAAAAGGAAAAAAAAAATCTATTCTTGAGGTACTGGTACTTAGAGTTTTCTGAACTCAAAGAGATTTCAACTCCATGCCTTAGATCAGTGATGGCGAACCTATGACACGCGTGTCAGAGGTGACACGCAAACTCATTTTTTGGTTGATTTTTCTTTGTTAAATGGCATTTAAATATATAAAATAAATATCAAAAATATAAGTCTTTGTTTTACTATGGTTGCAAATATCAAAAAATTTCTGTATGTGACACGGCACCAGAGTTAAGTTAGGGTTTTTCAAAATGCTGACACGCCGAGCTCAAAAGGTTTGCCATCACTGCCTTAGATTATAGATGTAGTTTCACTCTTTGTCTTAAATGGACTTGTTTTCTGTCTTTGTTTTTACTATGGCTACTTTTGGTTTCTAGGGCACCAGAGATTTTAGTCCCCAGCAGATGGTTGTGAGGGAGAAAATACTTGATATAATTGTTAGCTGCTTTAAACGTCATGGAGCAAAAGGGTTGGATACCCCAGCATTTGAGCTAAAGGTAAATGGAGAAAAAAGTACCAGAACTCCATTTTTTTCACTTGCCTTCAGTTTCCCAAAGGGCTTCTAGCCTACGTTCTGGAGTCCCCCTTTGAAGTGTGGCGCTTTCTGTTTGACCCCTGCAGGAGATGCTCGCTGAGAAGTATGGCGAGGACTCTGGGCTCATCTATGATCTGAAGGATCAGGGTGGAGAGCTATTGTCCCTGCGCTATGACCTGACTGTATCCTTCTGAGTGCTGGAGCCTGACTCACCGCTTTCCAAACCCAGAGGGCTTTGTCTGACAAAAGGGACAAGAGTGACTCTGGGACCCTAAAGGTCCATTGGCAACAGGGTTTACTTCCAGTTTCAACCAGAAAGCAGTTCTGCCAGCAGAGCCTGGCCTGGAGCACTATCATTTAACTTTAACGTGTATCAGAATCCCCTGGGGAAACTTGTAGAAACACAGGTTTCTGGCCCCCAGGCCCACACATTCCTAATTCTGTAGCTGGTGCAGGGTTCAGCAGTCAGCATTTCTAACAGGCGTCTGGGTAATTAAAATGCAAATGGTCCTTGACCTACACTTTAATAAATATTGACATAGAAATTATAGGCAAATTGAGATTCTGAAGCTTGCTTATTTTGAGATGGTTAAGAATTGATCTGAATGGGAGGAAATGACCCAGACTTGAAGTTCTTGTGTCATTTTCTATCTCTGTTTCCCACCTAACTTGTAGTTTTGTTAGGTGGGGTTCCTTCATTTGACACTACTCAATATATAAGGGTGGGCAAAAGTAGGTTTATAGTTACAGTACAAATAAATAATACAATAATTAATAAATAATAATGTAAGAGCCCAGCTTGTGTGACTCAGTGGTTGAGTGTCGACCTATGAACCAGGAGGTCACAGTTCAATTCCTGGTCAGGGCACATGCCCAGGTTGCAGGCTTGGTCTCCGGTAGGGGACATGCAGGAGGCAGCCAATCAATGATTCTCTCTAATCATTGATGTTTTTATCTCTCCCTCTCCCTTCCTCTCTGAAAAAATATATTTTAAAAAAACATCAAAAGATGAAAAATCAAATACAAGAATAAACTATTTCATGTACTCACAGCTGTAAACCTATTTTTGCTCACCCTGTATATTGAATGCCAAGTACTGCTAAGTCTTGGCATAGTGGGAAACAAGACAGACAAGGTGATTGTTCTGTGGATGGGATTCAATTGATAAAGGCCCAGTCTTCCCTAATGTCTTACACTGAGCCTAAGCTTTGGATGCAGTGTCCTTTCTCCTTAACCTATTTATGTGAGGTTCCTTTTGCGCGTTATATGGCCATGAATAAACTGAAGAAGATGAAACGCTACCATGTTGGAAAGGTGTGGCGGCGGGAGAGCCCAACCATAGCCCAAGGCCGCTACAGGGAATTCTGCCAGTGTGTAAGTGACCTGAAGGAGGCAGCATGGTTTGATAGTTCTGGGGGCCACAACCTGGGAACTGGCTGCCGAGTGGAGACTTTTTTCCCTTGTCTTTTTTGCTGTAGGATTTTGACATTGCTGGTGATTTTGACCCCATGATCCCTGATGCAGAGTGTTTGAAGATCATCTGTGAAATCCTAACTGGATTGCAGCTGGGGGACTTTCTCATTAAGGTGAGGTCAGGGCTGGGGACTTAGGGGAAAAGTCTGGATTTGGCCTGATGCTGTCTTAAAACATAGGTGACCCCAACTTTAAGCCTGCAGCTCTAGGACGTTCTAAGTTCAGCTGTTGCATTTTATATATATACACTGGAGGCCTGGTGCATGAAATTCGTGCAAGAGTAGGCCTTCCTTCCCATGGCTTCTGGCTCCAGTTTCCCTCTGGCACCCGGGACCCGGGCTTCCCTCACAGCCCCAGCTTCATCCGGAAGGTCGCCTGGGAGGATGTCCAGAAGGATGTCCAGTCTAATTAGCATTATTACACTTTTATTATTATAGATCTAAATGGTCATCCTGTGGACTTTTCCTTTCTATCTCTTATGACTCAGGAGAGTAGGGACTGTCATTGTTTTGAGAGAAAGGGCATTGACAAGGCACTTGGGTTACTTCCATTGAGTTCACAGGTCAACGACCGGCGGATTTTGGATGGGATGTTTGCCATCTGTGGTGTTCCAGAAAGCAAGTTCCGTGCCATTTGCTCCTCCATAGACAAACTAGACAAGGTAAGAAAGAAGACATGTTTCAGTAGATCCTATCAGAGTTTCTGCCCTGCCCTTAAATCTATACCCTTAGAGCGGGGGTCCTCAAACTTTTTAAACAGAGGGCCAGTTCACTGTCCCTCAGACCGTTGGAGGGCCGGACTATAGTTTAAAAAAAACTATGAACAAATTCCTATGGACACTGCACACATATCTTATTTTGAAGTAAAAAAACAAAACGGGAACAAATATAATATTTGTATTTGCATGTGGCCCGCGGGCCGTAGTTTGAGGACCCCTGCCTTAGAGGAAAAATAAGGAAATAGTGCCTGGAAGTGAGGGAGGTAAGGAGATATTCTGAAGCAAGATCTGAGTTTTGCTGTGCAGTGGGGATTATGGCTGGATTTACTAAGCTGCCTCTGACTTTGCTGACTTTTCCAAGTTTAGTTTTGCTACTTGTGACATACTTACTGAATGAAAGGGAGATACCCTTTTCTGGTTAGAGAAAGAAAGATCATGGGGCAGGGCTAATGTTTGAATGTTTGTGCAGATATCTTGGAAAGATGTGAGACATGAGATGGTGACAGAGAAAGGCCTGGCTCCTGAAGTGGCTGACCGAATTGGGGACTATGTCCAATGTCATGGTAAGAACCAGAGTTTCCAAGCTATATGATAGAACCAGAGGGAGGGTGATAATGTGTACAGCTTCTACCTCTGAAGAAGCTCCTTTCTGTAGATGTGCTAAGCTCTAGAGTCTGTCTGAATTTAATTCCCCTTTTTTTTTATTGTAACCACCTTATGTCTTCAGATGGCAAAGGTAGAGGCAGAGGAGGAGAGGCTGGTCATATGAGATCAGTATCTTTTTTTTAGTGAAAATGAGGAGCCCCCAGCTGGTGTGACTCAGTGGTTGAGTGTTGACCCATGGACCCAGAGGTCACCAGTTTGATTTCTGGTCAGGACACATGTCCGGGTTGTGGGCTCAATACCCAGTACAGGGCATGCAGGAGGCAGCAGATTGATATTTCTCTCTCATTGATGTTTCTCTCTCTCTTTCCCTCTACTTTCCTCTTTCTCTTTCAAAATCAATAAAAACATTTAAAAACTAAAAAGAAAATGAGGAGGACTACCTAGAACACCCTAGAGAGAAATTTGGATGAAATACATCTGGGTGAAGAGCACAGACCTTATTTCTCCCCACATGTCTCCCAGGTGGGCTGTCCTTGGTAGAGCAAATGTTCCAGGATCCCAGACTATCTCAGAGCAAGCAGGCCCTAGAGGGCCTGGGGGATCTAAAGCTGCTCTTTGAATATCTGACTCTATTTGGAATTGCAGAGAAGGTAAGCTGAATTGGGTATGGACCTCCTGCTGAGCTTTGGGGTTCTCAGAGTCCTGAGTCTTGTCTAGGACTGACTGTAGCCTTGTTCCCACAGATCTGCTTTGATCTAAGCCTGGCTCGGGGCTTGGACTACTATACAGGAGTGATCTATGAAGCAGTGCTGCTGCAGACCCCAGCTCCTGCTGAGGAAGAGCCCTTGAATGTGGGCAGTGTGGCTGCTGGTGGGCGCTATGATGGGCTGGTGGGCATGTTTAACCCCAAAGGCCACAAGGTGCCGTGTGTGGGGCTCAGCATTGGGGTAGAGCGAATCTTCTCCATTGTGGAGCAGAGGATGAAGGTGGGTCCTAGGTAAGGGTGGAGTGGGACTGGAGGCCTAAAAACTCTCATGTTTCTGAAAGTGCAGTTGGACAGTTTTTCTTTTTTTTAAAATATATTTTATTGATTTTTTACAGAGAGGAAGGGAAAGGGATAGAGAGAAACATCGATGAGAGAGAAGCATCAATCAGCTGCCTCCTGCACACTCCCAACTGGGGATGTGCCCTCAGCCAAGGTACATGCCCTTGACCGGAATCGAACCTGGGACCCCTCAGTCCGCAGGCCGACGCTCTATCCACTGAGCCAAACCAGTCAGGGCGGACAGTTTTTCTTTTAAAAAAAAATTTTTTTTTAATTCTCACTGGAGGATATTATTCCGATTGATTTTTAGAGAAAGTGAAAGGGAGGGAGGAGCAAGGTTTGGGGTGGGGGTGGGGGGGTGGAGAGAGAGGCATTGATTGGTTGCCCTGGGATCAAACCTGCAACCCAGGCACATGCCCTTGATTGGGAATCGAACCCTTTCTTTGCGCAAGCCAAAACTATTCTTTGTGCAAGCCAAAACTCGAACCACTGAGCTATATCTGCCAGGGTTGGACTGTGTTTCTTATGATTCTTTTTGTCCTGGTTTTTGGGAGTTAACTGGTGCAAAGGAAGTTTTTATTTTAGTTCTTTCTCTTTTATCAGACTTTTGGTGAGAAGATACGGACCACAGAGACCCAAGTGTTTGTGGCCACTCCACAGAAGAACTTTCTCCAAGAACGGTTGAAGCTAATTGCAGAGCTTTGGGATGCTGGGATCAAGGTATGGTGGAGCTAATTTCCAAACCATGTAGGTATATGTGGAATTCAGGCACCAGGCCCATTTCTACTTTATGCTTAGGTGGAACTCAAGATCTTTCCAGTCTTCACTAGAGTGTCTTCTTTGGGTAGGAGGGCTAGCTACTTATTTCTTTGGAAATGCGCACTCCTGGGTGTTGTAAATGTTTCCCTCCACGTCCCGCGTGGTTCAGGGTTCAGGATCTGGAAGAGGAGCTACACACAAATGAAAGAGAAGAGACAAGAGATAATTTGGAAATATCGGGGTGCTGGGGTGCAGGCCCAGCGGGCCAGGGGTTCCCAAAGGTGTTGACGGAGTCGGCAAAGAATGATTTACACGGAGACAGTGTTCATAGCTCTCTAGCTCTCTTTAGTCTCCGTGGATCTTCCTGTGCCTGGCTGAGGCCACAGAGAGAGATCCAGGAGGCACGCTGAGCCTTTATTTTATAGTCAGGTAAACAAGGTAGTGATTACCATAGTTACACAGTTCTTGTGAGTTTCACTTGTTTTGGCCACTTCCTGCACTTCCCTCAGCCCATTAGCTCCCCAGATAAGATTTGGGGAGCATTATAAGGTCAAGCCTAATTATGCTAAGAGGACTGTGCCCTCTAAGCTGGGACTTGTTTGTGACTTTGCCAACAGGTCAGTCCGAGGCTTAATCCTATATCGGCTCCCCATACCTGGGGTGGAGTGGTGTGGTCACTTTTAAATCCCATACTTTACCTTCATCCTTTTCAGGCAGAGCTGCTGTATAAGAACAACCCTAAATTACTAACGCAACTGCACTACTGTGAGAACATGGGCATTCCACTGGTAGTCATTATTGGTGAGCAAGAGCTGAAGGAAGGCGTCATCAAGCTCCGTTCAGTGGCCACCAGGGAGGAGGTGAGTGGGGCAGGCAAAAATAGAAGGGACCAGGTGTCTCTACCTTGTTAAGATTCTTTTTTTTTTTTTAAAAAATATATTTTATTGATTTTTTACAGGGAGGAAGAGAGAGGGATAGAGAGTTAGAAACATCGATGAGAGAGAAACATCGACCAGCTGCCTCCTGCACACCTCCTACTGGGGATGTGCCCGCAACCAAGGTACATGCCCTTGACCGGAATTGAACCTGGGACCTTTCAGTCCGCAGGCTGACGCTCTATCCACTGAGCCAAACCGGTTTGGCTTTGTTAAGATTCTTTAAGAAATATATTTCTCGCTGAGGAAATATCTTCATAGTTAATAGTGATAGAGATGAATGAAGATCCATCTTAGGCAACTGTTGTAGCCCATGATACTGGCTGGGTAAGCAGAAGGACAGATGAAATTTGAGTATTTTGAGTATTTGAGTATTGTGGGTATTTTGAGACTAATTAACAAAATAGATGTAGATCAGGCATTTGAATCCCTTTGGTTTATGAGGACATACATTCTCTAGGTCAGCTTAAAGCCCACACTACTCCCTACTGGTTGCATAAGTAGTGGGGGTGATATAGAGTAAAATGAATCTGGAAAATCAATGGCTAAGGAGCTATATCATTTTTTAGTTCGTCACATGAGGGTTCTCTTATGTTCCAGGTGGCCATTAAACGGGAAAATATTGTGGCTGAAATTCAGAAGCGACTATTCGAGTCTTGATCCTTTCCTGATTGCCATCTGCTGCTCTTTGTAGAAAATGTTTCATCTAGGACTGAGTTCCTGATGGGCTTCTCAACAGCTGGCCAGGATGGGTGACAAGTGCCTCTGCCTCCTCCATCCTTCCTGGGTACAGAACTATAGAAAGCCCTGAGGACGCCTGGGCTATTGTGAGCAGCTATTCTGCATGGGCGCAGATGGCTGGTATGTGAAAGAGACATGCTCTAACTGCAGAGACAGATGACAGATTTCATGTACCATTGGAATGCTGCCAAGAGGTGCTAAGGTGCTTGCTGTGAGCAAGGCTCTGAGAAAGTCACCTCTGGCTGGGAGGATTCTGAACCATTGAGATCAGAAGTCAGATACTTAGCTTTCCACTGTGGCTTCTGAACCAAATTCTGGGAAATTTGTCCACAACCTGCTATTGGCCTGTCCAATTTTGGGGGAGACAGTGATGTGGGGCAAATGGCTGCTGTCTACTTTGTTTGAGGACAGAGATGCTATCACAAGGGCATAGCACTGACAATATTGATGTGGTATGTCTCTAGCCCATCCACTGTTAACAATAGTAGGGTGAGGCTGTTTAATAATTTTGAATATTGAACTTAATAGGTGACCTAACAAGATGGAGATTTGATCTTTTGAGGTTTTGGAGACCACTTCTTGTGCCAGAATTTCTGCTCTGTTTCATGTCCTGCCATGGAGGTGGCTATTCTAGAAATGGTTAGATAATATATTAAATAAAATATTTAATGTAGTAGTTTGGGTAGTTTGTTATCAAGGGATTGTTTTGCATAGAACACAGAAAATGCTTGAGTGTACACTAAGAATTCTAAATCTTTTTTTGTTATTGTTAACCCTCATCTGAGGATATTTCCATTGAATTTTAGAGAGAGTGGAGGGGAGGGGGAGAGACAGACAGAAACATCGATGTAAGAGAGACACATCAATTGGTTGCCTTCCACATGCCTGTGGACCAGGGCCGGCAGGAATCGAGCCCTTGACAGGAAATGAACCCAGGGCCCTTCAGTCCAAAGGCGATGGTTCTATCCACTGAGCAAAACTGGCTAGGAAGAGAATTCTAACTCTTGAGCAAGGAGTAACCTCCCTGGGGTGATGCTCTGTATTCAGTGAAGGAAGCAGCCATAGTTCCTCTAACCCCCAACTTGGACATACACTTATGTCACTAAATCAACAGTGAGCCATCTGCCAGAGTTCTTCACCCTAGAGCAGTGGTTCTCAACCTTCCTAATGCTGCGACCCTTTAATACAGTTCATGTTGTGGTGACCCCCAAACATAAAATTATTTTCGTTGCTACTTCATAACTAATTTTGCTACTGTTATGAATTGTAATGTAAATATCTGATATGCAGGATGTATTTTCATTGTTACAAATTGAACATAATTAAAGCATAGTGATTAATCACAAAAACAATATGTAATTATATATGTTTTCCGATGGTCTTAGGCAACCCCTGTGAAAGGGTCGTTTGACCCCCAAAGGGGTCGCGACCCACAGGTTGAGAACCGCTGCCCTAGAGTGTTGTTGCTAACTGACCTTCCCAAATATAATAATGTTGATTAAATTTGACCATAGGTTGGCTGTAATACTCAGTTGAGGGAAAGTGAGTTAACTATAGAGTGATAGCATTGCTTCAAGATAATGAGACAAAGGTACGAAAAGCACTTACATGTGTGCACTGGGAAGGTGCAGACTTTGCAAACACTTAGGTGTTGGGGAGGGGGCGGCATATCTTTAGTCCGTTCTGGTAAATAGGGCATCTGAAGCCTTTAATAACAGCGCTTCTGCCTTAAAGGTTTAGAAACTCTTGGCAATGTACGCAAGTTAATTAGACCAGAGGGCACGGACCCGCAGGTCCCTCGTTTGTAAAACAGATGAGTTGAACTTTCAGGGTTGTTTCCTTAGGCCAGAGCAAAAAAAAACTACAAACCTTTGCAGGCGCCCTTACTTCCGTATTGCTTCACACTCCCCATGCGCATGCGCCATTTTATTGACGCGGAGGCGGGGCTTACAAGTCTGTTTTAGAAGCCCTCCAGTCTTTTAGCTCATTTACAGCGGGAGACGCTTAGCTTATTGGAGGGCAAGCCTGCTTTACGGCTTAAGGTCGCTTTTTACGACATTTTCCGGCTTCCCATTCACTTCGCGGTGAAGATGGCGTCGAGCAGTGGGGTAGGTGTTGTGTGTAGAAGGAGGTTTGCAGCGGGTGGAGGGTATGAGGTGGATTCTCCGCGCGGAATATACTGCACCGGACTGGCTTCCCGATACCTCCTTGCGATTTTGTGGCCCCGTAAGGCCCTGGCGCCGAGTGGAATCGCGGAGGTCTCTCGGGTTGGGGTCCTGAGGCCACTTCAGCCTCCCGGTGCGGTCTGGGGAGCCTCCGTTCTCTACAGGTGCCGCGGCCGCGGTGCCGGTGATGACGTGGTTTCTCTCGGCGTCCGACACGATTAGCAACGAATTCTGAGGGCTTTTTATCTCCACAGACAAAAAACTTGGACTTTCGCCGCAAGTGGGACAAAGATGAATATGAGAAGCTCGCTGAGAAGAGGCTCACGGAAGAGAGAGAGAAGAAGGATGGTGGGTGCCTGCCCCATCAGGGGCTAAGGGTGTCGTAGAGGCGATGCAGTGGCTTGGAGAGCCGGTGGGGAGTCGCAGTGCACTTTCCTCTTACCCTGTGTACGAGCCCTGCCTTCCCGTCCTCAGTGTTTGTGTTTTTGTTTGTGTGTGTGTGTGTGTTTTTAATGTATAAAATGAAGAAGGAGATGGACTGAAGTGATTTTGGGGTGCTGTCCAGCTCTGTGGTCCTGTCCTTCCTTGCCCTCCCTGTGCTGGTTCATGTTAGTACTTTCCTGAAAAGAGTGGGATCCTTAATAATGACAGAAGTCAAAAGGGGTGTTTTGCTGCTATGCTTTACTGCTCCTGAAGACCCTCTCTTTCTGTTGAAATTACTTATCGGGGAGAAGAACATTCCTGGCCCAATCTAAACCTTTTCCCGTAGTCTGAGAAGAGTAAGGGTACCAGACTGGGAAGGTTTGATGTTTCTGCGAGTGCTTAGTAGGGCTGTGTTCTGTGCCTTGTGCAGTGTCAGGGAACTGGCCCACCTCTCCGAGAATAGAGACTGCACTGTACAAAAAGAAATACGTGATTTTCCTCATCTGTTTTCAAACTTGTATGTTCCTTCACTTTACCTCCAGCCACCTTTTAGGTTTTTTTTTTGAAAGATATATTTTATTGATTTTTCACAGAGAGGAAGGGAGAGGGATAGAGAGTTAGAAACATCGATCAGCTGCCTCCTGCACACCCCCTACTGGGCATGTGCCCCCAAGCAAGGTACTTGCCCTTGACCGGAATTGAACCTGGGACCCTTGAGTCCGCAGGCCCCACGCTCTATCCACTGAGCCAAACCAGTTAGGGCACACCTTTTAGTTTTTATGTAGCTTATATAATAATAGTGTTTGGCACGTAACCAAGATCTCAGGTTAACATTATAATATCTCTTGGAGGGGCCACTCAGTATGCTTCTTCATATTAGCACTATAACTATTTAAATGTTAGTCCCCTTTTTAAAAATTTCCCCAGCTCGCAGAAGATTCCATTCTGTGTTATGCTTGGGATATCTTGAAAACATTATTGAGTATCCTTGCGTTTTTTTTTTAAAAGGTTGCTTTTTGTGAAAATTCAGAACTTCTCCCTTCAATTCAGCTCATCAATGAGTAGAAAACATTGCTTTTTGACTTGTTAGCTATAAAGTGAAGAAATGCTGTAGTGAGTTAAGGATTGCTTATCTTTTTTCCTGTTCATACTCTCCCTATCTACTGCTAGAAGTACCTGTTGTGCCCCTTGCTTCAAGTTTCAAAAACGAAATGAGAGTAAACCTCTGGACTTTGAGTTTCATGCATATCTTTTCCTTTCTGGTTAAGGAGCTGCAATATATATTTTTTTAATTTAATATCTTGTTTTATTGCCTAAAGTATTACAAATAGTATTACATATGTCTCCTTTTTTTTTCCCCTTTGACATTCCCCTGGCCTCCCCTACCCCCCAGTGTCTTGTGTGCATTGGTTATGCTTATATGCATGCATACAAGTCTTTGGTTGATCTCTTACCCCCTTCCCGCCCCCCAACCCTCCCCGGCCTTCCCGCTGTAGTTTGACAGTCTGTTCGATGCTGCTCTGCCTCTGTATCTATTTTTGTTCATCAGTTTATAATGGTCTTTATTATCCATAAATAAGTGAGATCATGTGGTATTTTTCTTTCATTGACTGGCTTATTTCACTCAGCATAATGCTCTCCAGTTCCATCCATGCTGTTGCAAGGGAGCTGCAATATTGAAGGGACTTCCTTCCCCGTTATATTTCAGGAAAACCAGTGCAGCCAGTCAAGCGGGAGCTTCTCCGGCATAGGGACTACAAGGTGGACCTGGAATCCAAGCTTGGGAAGACCATTGTCATCACCAAGACCACCCCGCAATCTGAGATGGGAGGGTGAGTGGCTTTTCATCTTTCACTGTAGCCAGGAGTAGGCCTAAGAGATGATGTTGGTTTTAGGAAGTGTTGAGGAGGACTCCTGGGTCAGGATAACAGTCTTGTTGCCTGTAATTCCATCCTTCGGTTTATTTTTCTTTGTCTCCCAAGATCTCAGGTTAACATTATAATATCTCTTGGAGCCGAAACCGGTTTGGCTCAGTGGATAGAGCGTCGGCCTGCGGACTGAAAGGTCCCAGGTTCGATTCCGGTCAAGGGCATGTGCCTGGGTTGCGGGCACATCCCCAGTGGGAGATGTGCGGGAGGCAGCTGATCGATGTTTCTCTCTCATCAATGTTTCTAGCTCTCTATCTCTCTCCCTTCCTCTCTGTAAAAATATCAATAAAATATATTAAAAAAAAACAACAAAAAAAAAACGCTTGAAAATGCTAATCTTTTAAAAAAAAAAAAAATCTCTTGGAGGGGTCACTCAGTATGCTTCTTCATATTAGCACTATAACTATTTAACATCTTAAAAGGGATAATTTGTTCTCCTGCTGGAAGGAAAGGACTACTGAGGAGGTTTTTAGAGGAGAAAGTAGGTGGAGCTAGAATGGAAGCCAGGAGCTGTAAAGGGGGTTGAGGTTCCTGATTGGCTGTAAAGGTGGTAATATAGATTATCTGGCTGTGTACTTCCTTCTTAGACTAAGACTGTAACCTATAGGAAGAGTTGTCCCACAAGAACTCATTTCTTCTGCCCATATTTTTTCGAGTTACGTTTTCCAGCAGGAGGGCAACACAGCAGAGTGACACTTCTCTGAGCTACTGTTGTCATTCTTCTCTATATTAGTAATCTATTACTATGTAAATTAACCCCAAATTTAATTTGTTGCAGCATAAAACAACAAAGAGCTCGTAATTTCTGTGGGTAGGAATCTGAGAGACTTACTTAGGTGGTTCTGGCTTAGGATCTCTCACAAAGGTGCAGTTAAGGTGTGTGCTGGGTCTGTGTTCATCCAAGATATAAGTGGAGCTGAAGGCTGTACTTCCAGCCTCTGCCACATGGCTGTGGTTTGGCAGCCTTAGTTCTTCCTTGCATGGGCCTCTCCATAGTCCTTATCACAACAAAGTAAATGGCTTCCCCAGAGCAAGCGATTCATATGGACAGACTAAGATAGAAGCCATGATTTAAAAAATTTGTTATAACCTAATGTTGGAAGTGAAATAGCATCACTTTTCAATCCTCACCTGAGGATATTTTTTTATTGATTTCT